TTGACCAATTATGCTCCTATAAATATATACAAAGATAGATAGATAGGAGAAATGCTACAGTCTCATTACGGAATCATTCTGTCGTGGATAGTTGATCTAACGATTACAAACCCCAACGAAATGATTTCGTAACGAGACCATAGAATCTCTCGATAGATTGATGGAGAAGAAAAAAAAAATTCAAACATGAAGGATTGATTCTCAAGTCTCCTTCTCTCACCTCCCATTTTCAATCCTTTCCCTTCCCCAAGATTCTCTCTCTCTCTCTCTCTCTCTCTCTCTCTCATATGTTGTTATAAGAGAGAGATCCTTTGTGTCAGAAATCTGTACTTAAGCTCTCTACCCTTTTGTCCCTCTGAGCAAGGAGGTCCCTTTTGGTGTCAGGAAACAAAATCTTCATTTCCAACCATAATATTTCACAAATACATACATAAACAAAAAAACCCTAAAAGTTTTTTAATTTTACCTTCCATTATGAAGACCCACAAGAACCCTACCCTCATCAAAACCCGGTTCGCCCTCAACTTCCTCCGGGCCATGAGGAGGCTCAACCGGAGCGGCCCATCCGACGCGTGCCAGAGGTTCCACGCCATCCGGGCCGCCGCCACCGCCTCCATGGCTTCTGCTGTCGGGCCTAGACGGGCCTGGAGTCGGGCCGTGCTCAAGAAAAACCGAACCCGTCGAGCAAAAAACCCTAGACGGGACGTGTCGGGTCTCGGGCAGGAGGACGATTTACGCGTGCTCGTGCCGGGAGGCCAAGGACTGGACTTTTGCCAGTTGTTGAGCGAAAGTGCACACTACATAGAGTGCCTAAGAGCCCAGGTACAGGTTATGACCGACTTGCTCGATCGTTATTCGGCTTAACCAGATAACAAGTGTCTTTGTTTTTATCAATATATGTATGTATTTGTTAACGTGCATATGCTTCATCGGTGTCTGCAGGCTTGGTTAATTTTAAAAACGATGAAAAAAGAAAAAGAAAGAAAAAAAAAAACTTTATGTATCAAAAAAAATAATCAAATAAATATAGAGTTATACATATATGGGGAGATGTTAAAGGTGTTTTGGTTTTTTTTTCTTCAAATTCTACATTAATGTTTCATGTGTGCATGTGATGTATGTGTATATTATGCACACTTTGTTAATATAGTTTGTTGGGAATTGTTGTTGTTATATTCCGCCTTTTTTGGGACCGTCCCAAAAAATGGTAAGAAATTGCAGATGATGCTTTGGCTTGCAATATAGTTAAGTTGAGCCTTTCAATCTTTCTAAATCTGATGTGAATTATGAGAATGTAATAAGAGAGGATTTTTTAGGGATGATATTATTATTGTTGGGAAATACTACGGTCCGTTACGGAATTATTCCGTCGGGATCTGTAACCGTTAGATCATCATATAACAGTCGGGGATAGTTGATCTAACGGTTACGAACCTCGACGGGATGGTTTTCCGTAATGGTACCGTAGCATTTCTCATTATTATTATTACGTGTGTGGTATGTTAAGGGAATCATTATTGAATTTGGTTATCTGTCTACTTTGTGGAAAGAAAGCGTGGTTAGCATATTAATTAAAGTCGTTGTTTGCAACGTGTTTTAAAACGAAAAAAAAAAAGAATAAATAAATTAAGTTCGTTATTCTCAATTTAGCTAGCTAGTTTGCAGGTTTGCCAATTATAAAGACTAAAAGGGGAAAAGCCAGGCCAGTGTATTTATTTTCTCACGAAGCTGAGAATATTAGCTTTCTTTTTAGTTTTTGTGCTCTCTCTCTCTCTCTCTCTCTCTCTCTCTCTCTCTAATCATATACTAACGTATATTTTGGAGCATCAATTATGTATTCCATATATTTTCTTTTCTTTTTCCTCATTTGAGCATGCAACGTAAACAATACCTTTTTTGAGATTTTATGATTATATATGTCATTTGTGTATAACTATTGCGGTACTCGTGCAATTCAGCGGTTAGTTTTATTAAAATAAGTATTTAGATTTGGATGATTGAATGATTGAAACCGGTAAATATAAGCTCTGATCTGTTCGAACCGCCTTCAAATCGACCAGTTTTTTGAAGGTCCAATCAGTTTTAGGTTCGAATTGCAATAAGTAAATTGAGGTCGAGATTATATTGCAATTACTCCAAGATTGGGATAAGATTGCCAAACGCAAAAAGGTCAAGGTTTATTTAGCAATTAACATTTTTTTTAATAAATAATTAATCTGTTGCCAATGGTAAAAGATATAAGTGATATATTTTGCCTACTTCAAAATTTCCAATTATGTGGTAATCAATTTTTTTTAAATAAAAAATGAAAAAGAATTTTGACTTTTATAAAATTATAACCATCAATCGATATTTACCTAAATTAGATCCACAAAACCCATGAATTTAGGGTGAATATATAGCTGATTGATATTTTAAGAATAATTAAAAAAAATTATCAAAAAGAATGAAATAAATGTTGATTGACTTTTCTTATTACTATTTTTAGTAATAGATTGTCTCTTCATATAGATACAAAAGACTAGTACGTAGCCCGTGCGACGCACGGTACAAAAGTATTAAATGTGTCATTTCCGCAGAGCTTGTCCGTTAAGTAGCTCGTGCGATTGACGGGAGATATTAAATGAGTAGACCATAGGGCTTGTCCGTTCAAGCCTAAAAAATAATAGAGATTGATCATCTATTCTTTTCTTTTTTCCTTTTTTTTTTTTTACCTCCTTCATCAACGTCATTTTTTGTGTCTGGACATTAAACCTGACCCTGGTAGTATAGCCCGTAAATTAATTAATATATTATCTCGCCTACATATTTATAATAATATAAATTTGATTCCAATATATATATTTACTCCTTGATATAAGAAAAATAACAATTTTACTTAATCTTGTTCCTCGTATAATACTCATATTATTTTATTATAATATTTATTGCAGTATAATGTCATTATTATTATTTATACAAGTTATAGATGTAGTCTTCTTCTTCTTTTTGTTTTATATAATTAAAATATTTAATGCATGTTAATATTATTTATTAAAGTTATTAATTTAAATTATGTAAATAAATTTAAAGTAAAACATTTTGTACAAACATTTTACAATATACACAAATATTTTTTTAGAATTTAATTTTCTTATAATAAATAAACATCTTTAAAATTCTATCAAATTATTAAACATCCATGATATAAATTTGAAATCATACTTTAATTCTATGCAATTATTAATTTTGTCCGATGTTATTGGAAGCAAATTTCAGAAATGTAACAAATCATAAGGAATTTTAAAATTTAAATTTTAGATGAGACATGTTTTTACTTGAATTCTATGTAATTATTATTTTGCCCGATTTTATTGCAAACAATCTATTCCATATTTTAATGTAGACACATGTTTTTACTTGAAATCTATTTGTCCGATTTTATTACAAAACACATTAATTAAGGATAGAATTAATGCATACCGGTTTTTTAGCTATAAAATAATAATACAATTAAAAACATAATAGAAATAGAATGCATTAATTACTTTTGACTTTTCTTCCTACTAATTCTAGTAAATGAGATGGTTTTTTTTTTTTACTTCTGGTGCTTCGGAATCCTATGTGGCAAAATTACATCTTCGTTAGTAGGCTTGGATAAATTTTAATTTAATTCTAAACCAAAAATATTTAGGTTCGGATTACCATAAATATGTTGATTATTTATGGTCATGTTATATATATTAATTGCATTTTAATATCATTCCTTATTATGACTATTGAATTGTAAATATATTTTAAGAGTTAATAACTTTTGTATTTTTTATCAGTTTTACATATGTAATATATCAAATTAATCTTCATTTGATGAACTTCGATTTAACATCCATATTGTATGTATAAAAAATAATTTATATTTATCTTTATAACAATAGTAAAATTATTTTTAATATTAATTAGAAAAATAAAATTATTTATCAACTAATATATTTATATTTCAAGTAGTTATATGATATAAGTTATAAAACTAATATAATATAACACATGTAAGTCATAAGTAACACATATCATTCTAAAATATATAATAATATATTATTTTTTTTTTTTGTAAAAAAGTAAACTAAATTTAATATAGTTTTCTCATTAATTTTAAAATTTAAGAATAATTTTTTAACAAGCACCCGTGTATTACACGGGCGTTGTACTAGATTAATTAATGATGAATTGTTCCATAATATGTAATTATATATGTTTGCAAATTAGTGTTCGTAAGACCCTTTATCTAAAGAGACATATAGTAAAAAAAAAAAAAAAA